CAGAAGAGATCTAATATCGCTTTCTTTCCAAGGAATTGTGTTGAAGCCCAATTTCTGGATGCTCTCGAAGCAAAGGCAATGAATACGCAAGGTCCTGAACCTGGTGTCTCCCAGAAGGTCCAAGTACTCTTGGTGAACATTGTCCCCGTGGACCGCATGCAGGTAAGGGATGTCTTTGGCAAAGGGCAGAAGGAGCCCAATGATCCTTTCTGCCCAGCGGTCTCTGAGGTGGAGTTCTAACTTCCTTTGGGTTGTAGCCGACTCTTCCTTGAGTCGCCCAGGCTTCCAGTGCCTCCATTTGGCCTCCACAATGGCCATTATGGGAGGCCGTGCATGAAAGGCTCGCCATCTAGCCCGGTCCATGCTTTCCTGTTGCTGTTGAAGGGGTGTGTGGAAGGCTGAATCTGGTGCGCCCGCAATCAAAGTGAAGAGGCTAAAACATGCATCATAGGTCCTATCTCTCTCTTCTGGGGGCGCTGGTTGTGGCACCCGGTTCATGCAGTCTGCCACAAAGTCTTCCATCCAGGGCGTGGTAGCCACCATCATGGAGTTACTGTGAGCCACGTTCATAGGGTCGATGTCATTGCTGGGGTGTACCCGAGAGGTCCAGGTTCCCCATCCATGGCCTCCGGATGGTCCGGTGGCACTTGTTGCATGCAGAGCTGCATGAACAACTCCCCCTCCGTTTGTGTGGGGAAAATTCCATGGTCCAGCAGGCTGTCTCGCATGTGTTCAGGAAGCCGAACCATTGCCAGGCCAAAAGGTGTTCTACGCACAAGATCGGGTTCCATGATGTCCCGACTCTACTATGGCCAAGCCTGGCCCAAAAGAGGGTACTGCGGGTGTGCGGAGCACTAACACGTGAAAAGAGCAAGCTGGAATAACAACACAGAAAGCCTAGGAAAAACCATCAGAGTTGCAACAGGACAGAACTGAGTGCAAGCCACATTGGACAACAGTCACATCAGCGTAATGGGCGAAGCCCGAAAGGATACCAATAACATCAACCAAGGTAAAACATGGTAAACTCAGAATGTTCAAAAAGCAACATGCTGTAAATGACTCTGAGGCAGCCACATGCAGGTTTCCCTTTTCACTGTGTGAGCTGGCATCCCAGCGGTCTGGCCCCTGTCTTGGCCCTTGTCGTGGTGCGCAACCAATGCTATTCATACAAAAAGGAAGGTGTCTGCAGAACCGAGTGGTGACGTTGGTGCAAGACGCTACCAGGCCACCAGGTCAGTAAAACAGCCCTTCGCAAAAACTCCGCTCTCAGGCAGGCCGGACTCTGCTCGCTGCCAGCGCGTTGATCTTCTGAAGGCCCTCGAGGTCCGGATTGCTCAGAAGGACCGACCAAATGGCGTTGGAAACATTGGCATTGCCATTCTGGCAAGAAAACTTCAAGCGTTGGGTGTGGTCAGGGTCCACATGCAATGCCACATCTCGCGGGGCCGCAGTCGGCTCCACCCTCTTGTAATACTCAAGCCTGGACTTCACCCAGCTGTTGTACAGCTGTTGAGGTGGCTCGTCCAAAATCAGTTGGAGGTTGACTTTGACTCCCCGGTGCTCTCCAAGCAATTGGACAAAGCGGGAAGCTCCTTTCCCTTGTCTCCAAAAGCCCTGGCAGGCCTTGCAGACCCAGCCTCCACGAGTCACTCCAGCCTCTTTCGTCTTCAGTTCCCAGGGACTGATACTGCTGAGGATGAGCCCGCAATCAGTGCGGCCCCAAAAGGCATGGACTCCACGGTGGCCATAGTGCTCCCGCTTGTACTTGGGGCTGCATATGGAGACCACATTTTCCAAGGAGAGCTCGGGGTACTTACCGGTGCCCGAAGCTACCGTAGTCGCCCGCAGAGCCTCCGGCTCCAGTGCAGTCTTCAGGAAGCCATCAATCTCTGCCTGGGAGTAGCCCAGACGGCAATAAAAGCTCTCCGCCTTCTCATGGGGAACCAGGGCAACCCACCATAGCTCACAGTTGCACCGCCAGGCAACTTGCACTTGCACCATGCTGTGGGCCCCCAGAGTGGCTGACAGCGCCTGGAAAACGTCCGGGAGCTGCCTGAAAGCATCCAAGGGCAAGGTGATGCGCTCATCACAAACCGCTCGAAAACGGAGCTGCTCCTTTGTGTCCTGGATGTCCTGCTCGGGCAAGTCCAAGACCACCGCTGGGGTTCTGGCTAAGAAAACCGAAGCAGCCAAAAAGCTGCCAATTTCCTTGTAGAGCAGCTTGATCTCATGTTGTGATTGGGGAAACCGGAGGCCCACACTGGTGAGGAAGGACTTGATCTCTGAAGTCCTCTGCCGGTGTGCCGCCAACTCTGCCACCTTCTTCTGGCGGATGCCTTCCCCATGCCCTCTGCGCATCGGTTTGATGATCAGCGGCATGCCACACCAAGCCTGGTAGATCTCCTTGAACGTCCAGGACTGTCCAAGCATCGTGATCATGGAGGGAAGGTCCCATGATTGCACCCTTCGAACCAGGTGGGTATCGTCGGTGCCAGAAGCTACCGCCGTCCCCGGGGCCCAAAAGAAGCCAATGATCTTGTCCAGGTCGGGTCGCTTGCCATCGGCAATCTGTTGCAGGACCACCTGTTCGGTGTAGGTTTTGGGCGTGTAGAAGGAGGTGCCTAGCGGGTTTGTCCTGAGTTCCAAAGCCAAGACCTCAGTCGTAGGTGCCGGTTTTGCCCAGGCAGGTGCCGTGAGCGGGCCCTGTCGCAGCTCCCACTCTCCGCCCCAGGCTCTGACTTCACCTTTGTGGTACTGCAAGATGGAGTCAAGGATTGCGTACTTGCGTTCAAGGCTGTCAGGCGGGAGGAGTCGTGCTAACTGGGCCTCTTGGGAAGATATCATCTCCGTCCCCGTGGTGTACATGTCGAGTTGAGTTTTAGGGAACTCCGTCATGAGGCGGTCCTGGGAAAGCGGAGGCTTGTTATCCTTGATGAGCTCCTTCATTCGAAGGTATGGTTGCTTGAGTGCCTCCATGTCAAATTGTTCGGGTCCCTGCGGTCCCATGGCCGGCGCGAAGAGATTGTTCTGCCACGCCTCTTGCAGAGCCGGGGTCCAAAGTGAAAAGGACGCCACTTCAATGGGCTTGAGGGCCTTGCGACGGTCTCTGAATTCTGTGTCCAGGGCCTTGTTGGCGGCCGCCGCTTTCTCCTGTGTGGTCTGTGCTGCCACCAAAGCCTCGTAAGAGGAAGTGAGGCCACTTTCTTCATGTTTTCTTTTGAGGTAGGACCGAAACTGCTGGAGGTCAGCGTGGCGAAGCATCTTGGCACTGACCGGATTCTGGGTTTCCTGTGCACCCTGCTGGATGGCAGTCAGTGTATGCAGCTCATCTTCCATCGCCACAGTCTCTTGCTGATGCTGAATCTCCTTCTTCCTCCTCTTGGCCTCCTGTGCCGCTTCTGTGAGCTCTTCTTCTGGTGTTGCCAGCAAGTCAACCTTGAAGCGCATCAGTTCAATGGTCTTCGGATGAAAGATCACCGCAGTTTGAGTAGAGTCTCGATCATCCATAGTGGGGGGGCGTTCGCCATCTGGATGAAAGATCTCGTCCTGCCCGAAGGCCACCACGTGCTGCTGCAGTGTCATGCGCTGGGAGGCAGGAACTTGCTCCGAAAAGCTGACCAGCCCCGTACCGGCGCCCGAAGCTGCCGCAGGGGGAGGTCGGCCAAGATCTCCCACTTCCACAAAGCCTGAGGCCTTAGTAACCTTAGTATCTGTGGGAACCCAAGTCGGTCCCGCCTCAGTAAGCCTAAGTTGCCAGGACTGGCCGGCCACCTCAATCACTGACAAAGGTGTCATTGACAGGTCAACAGGCTGAGAGCCTTGACAAAGCAAACATTTGGATAACTGCCCCCACGGTGCATTGCAATCAGAACAAACTAATTGCGGAGAAGTTCCAGGGTCCTTCTCTTTCAAATTCACCATGGATCCCCCACGCTGCGTGGTGTGCCGGAGTTTCAACATCTGTGTGTGGACAGCCTCGCGCTTCGAGATGTGGTAAACCTCTGCGATCTTGACCACCAAGGATGCCGTCCACGGAGAACTGCGGAAAGCGTCCAATAGGGAACGCAACTCACCATGCGTAATGTCTCTGAAGTACTTGGCAGCAGAGTGAGGCAGGGCCGGGATCAAGGATGCCCAGCCTTCGATGGTGAAGGTCTCTGTGGTCGGATCCATGTGGAGCGTCAACGTCTCCTTCTCTAAGACCCGTAGTGTCTGGGTCGGAGTCTGTGCCTCTGCATGGACGAAACCCGACGGGGGTTGCCCACTTGACGCTTCTACACTCGTCTCCGGCTTGGGTTCCAAGCCCAAGTTTGCCATCACTTTCTCCATCTCATGGAGCTGCGAAGCCAGTGTCTCCTTGGTGATGGCGGGATCATCTTCAAACTCTGTCGTAACCTCGGCCGGCGCAGCCTCGGTCACCTGGATGGAAAGCACCATGTAATCATCCCCTGCGTCCATATCTGTCCCAATCAGCGAGAAGGAGCCCACGGTGCCAGTCTCACTAGCAACTGGACTAGAAGCCGCCATAGGCAGAACAAGAAGATCGGAACGTGTTTTTCGAAAGTATTGGATCGCAGGGGGAACAGCTTGAGCCAAAATGGCATAGCCATTTTGGCAACTATATCGTCAACACATTACTTGCTCTCCACAAGTTCCAAGCAAAGAAACAAATTCTCACAGAATCTCACAGAGTTCTTGTTCTTCTCTGCACCTCATGGCTCGGTTTTGTGCAGCCTCTGCTGAATCGGCCGCTGCAGCTGCTGCAGCTGCAGCTCTCTGGGCTGCTTTTGCGGCCTGTTGGGCTCCTAACAGCGTCGTATGGCACCGCACGGCACTGATGACACAGGGTGCAAGATGGTACAAGTAGCACAGCACCCTAACTTTCCACCATCTCAGACATCCCAACTCATCTCAAACATCTCAGACCAACCAATAGCATACCCTTTCGCTGGATAATGCAAAATGATGCAAAATGCACATGTCACAGGTCTCACGTCTCAATCCCAGCCTGCTGCGGCCTGTGCAAGTGCCTCTCGCTCTGCGCGTAGGGACTCGCTGCCGCTAAAATCTGTTAGGCTGCCATCTGCATTCACCGAGATGGCTTCTTGCTTCCTGCACGATCAAATGTTTCATCCACAGCATACCCACACACCATCGCACAGCATGGCGGCATACCATTAGACATGAGCAAAACTATGTCATTCACAAAGGATTACATGCAAAAAAAAACATTTCTGGGAGTCAACAGGCAAACACGGCAAAACTGACTCCAGGTTTCACCCACTCTCCTGTGAGCAATGCTCTGCTCTGTTGCCTGAAGGGGGAGAAAGTCGAGCGGCGGATTCTATTGAACTCAGCTAGTTGAAGCCTGACTAAAAGCACCGCGCCAAGGGGCTGAAATCGGCACAGAAAGAGTTCGCGTTGCGGTGGCAGCAAGGATCAAACATCGAAGCCACAATCCTTGGACAACAAAACCCGGAGGCAACTCAACTGCTTGACAACATTTGGGTCCCATTTGAAACTGCCCACAGGTCATTCAAAGTTAGATGGGTCAGGTCGGTTTCTGCAGACCCTTGCAGCAAAGCCCTTTCAAAATCTGGTTCATCTTATGTAGTCTCCTAGTATCATCTGGCTTGCAAGCTAGAGTCCTGACATCAGGATCGTCATAATATGAAATGCCTAGAACTGCCCACTTTGGGGCAGAACAATGCTGACTTAGGAAGCCATGGGCAGAGCCAATAGCAGCTGCAGGTAGGGCAGGTAGCGCAGGTAGGCAGGTAGGGCAGACTATCCCATTCCATAAACAGCCTGCCCATTTTTTATATGGGCTGCATACAGAGTTCACAAGCCCTTCAACACAAACCCCTCTTACATCATGACTCTCGTAAGTAGAATTAGGAAAAAGGGGTGGAAATCTCAAAGTCAAATCTCAAAAGGGAAAGCTTGGAAGGCATAGTTTCCCTCAATTGATTTGACAACCCTGAATCTCACGGTTGACATCCCGGCGCCAAAAGCCCATGATTTTCTTCCCTTCTTCCCTTCTTCCCTGTCGCTTCACATGCTTCGCTGTGCTCGCTGGTTTAGGCTTGGGCGGATGCCGCGGATGCGGAGGCCGCCGCTCTGAAAGTTCTGAAAGTTCTGACCGCTCTGACCGCTCTGAGTGAGCCGACAGGGTGATCATCTCATCGCCAAGCCCCACAAGGATACCGCGGGCTTCGAAAATCTCCCGCTCACGCCGCCCAAGCTCGTCCTGTCGAAAACTCGAAGCAATCAGGGAAGGTGAAAATATTTGATGATCCTTGTGGAATCTTGTGGATATGGATGGTGTTAGGTTTTTTTAAGGGCACCTAAAATTATGACCGTATACAAGATACAAGTTATTTGTAAACGTTTGGAGTTCATCTTGGAGGGAGCATGTGCCTTGGATGAGTTAGAAGTTAGAGGCTTGCCCCGTGCACACGCTGCTGTCTCTGCTTTCAGTGAGAGCCCGCTCATGCTGCAACATCTGCAACTGTATCCAAGTGACTTTGCAATTGACTTGCAGCAACAGTATCCGGCGAATATCGATAATTTCTTGCCGAGTTTGCACCTAACAGCACCCTGTCGCCCTTTTGGCAGCTTAGATTCATAGATAGATAGATATAGATATAGATATAGATATAGATAAAGATATAGATAGAGATAGAGATAGAGATATAGATAGATATAGATAGATATAGATAGATATAGATAGATATAGATAGATATAGATAGATATAGATAGATATAGATAGATATAGATAGATATAGATAGATATAGATAGATATAGATAGATATAGACAGACCTAGATAGATATAGATAGATATAGATAGATATAGATAGATATAGATAGATATAGATAGATATAGATAGATATAGATATATATAGATAGATATAGATAGATATAGATAGATATAGATAGATATAGATAGATATAGATAGATATAGATAGATAGATAGATAGATATAGATAGATAGATAGATAGACAGACAAGATAAGATAAGATAAGATAAGATAAGGTAAGGTAAGGTAAGGTAAGATAAGATAAGATAGATAAGATAGATAAGATAGATAAGATAGATAAGATAGATAAGATAGATAGGATAGGATAGGATTAGATTAGATTAGATTAGATTAAGAGTAGATTAGATTAGATTAGATTAGATTAGATAGATAGATAGATAGATATATTATATACATATATGTATATATATATGTATATATTATATTTTATATTGTATTTATTATATATTAAATATTATATATATATATATACATGATTGTCAATCAGAGCTGTCCTTCAACTCGTCGATGACATCGTTCTTCAGTGCCACTGCCTGGCGAAGCTTCGCCTCCACCAAGTTCATCCGCTGGAACTCGCCCAGGACGTGTTCAGCCCTTAGCACAGAAACATGAAACACGCCGCACGACGCCGGATCCGCACGACAACTTTCACAACAACACCATGTCGATCATGTTGCAGTGCTGCAGGGCTTGGAGACTTTGAAGATCTTTGAAGTCTCGTGGTGTGGCGAATTCGGCAGGAAAGGTGGAAATATTCTTGCTGGATCTTACTGGATCTTTGCTGGTGCATCTGCTCCTGTCACCTTGGGTTGTTCTGTCTGCTGTATTCATGGTCAAGGTCGAGGCCAAGCTCTGGCTCGCAGTTTGTTCTTTGTCTAGTCTAGTTACACACGGCGCGCACTCATGGGATCTCATTGGTCATTGGTATTTTACATAGATATTGTCATTGTGCAAGGTAGCACGCATGTCTGCAGCAGTCGCATTCAGCTTCGCACCTCCAGCAATGGTGGGCCCTGGCACGTTCTTTTCTTTGGTATTGCTGATCTGAGTCACTTGACATGCTAGGAGAGAAGACTATTGGGCTTATCAGCCCAAGCTATCCCACGCTGGGATTGGCAAACACAAATTCCTTGCCACACTTTTGCATGAATTAGAGGCTGGGCCACTATGGATCTAGGATGATCTAGGCCAGCTATTGCCCTGAGACTGCAGTCATTGGCGCTTGGTGTGTCATGCGTCGCTCAGCCATTGTCAGCCGAAACAGGTCTCACGCACGCACCACTGGCCGACGCCTTGTCTTGGGGCTCATTCCAAACTCCTTCAAATCTGAACGCTGGTCACCACTGTTGAGGCAGGTGGTCCATGCGTTCATGTCCAAAGCAGGGAGGCTGCTGCTAAGGTACTCGAACAGACCATCTAATTGACTTGTGGCTGAACTGTACATTGCCTGCAAGTGGCCGCCATTCTTGGCACGACCACCAGCCTCAGCTGCTGAAAGCTCGGCCTGCGGCAGGATGGGCGGATTGAAGCCCTTCCTCAGCTCATTCGGCCTCCAATATGCTGCAATGAATCTGATACTGGCTTAATTGAACGTGAGCACATCGAATATCGGAGTTGTATAGGTTTGTGACATACAGTATGCTTATCCGCGCAGAAACCAAACATTTCCAATAAATCTGTAGTAAAATAAGGGCCAAGATTCTCCCGTGGGGCTGGTCGAGCAGTGTCTCTGGCACGGTGCTCACGGTGATCCGAGTGAGACACTCCGGTCCGTCCTCTCGAAGGAGGAGGTGGAGGGGGCGGCGGCTGAGAATTTGGCGAACCTAACCCCATGCGCCAGTCATCAGACATCCGCCGGGAAGGCGAGTGCGAAGCACTGGGAGGAGGAGGTGGGGGCAACGTACTTCCACGCTTTGCACCAGGATCTGGCATAGCATAGACAGCACCACCTGGAGGTCCAGACGGTCCAGACTGAGGATTCAAGGTCTTGGGTGGGACGTAGTTGCTTGCCACGGGAGCGTGGTCGCCGCAAATCATGCAACTCTCTTCTGTATTTGAGCATGGTGGGCACAACGTCATAGAGGCATAGGTGCTGGTGATCTGCGTCCCGCACTTTTGGCACGGCCGCATCAGGGGATCGATCTTCTCCCGTTGTGCGGAGGTGAAGTGCCTCTGACAGAAGCGCGGTGCCACATCTGCCGGAGGTGGAGCTTGTGCCGCTCTGCCAGGAACACTTTCGAATTGCTCCTCCTCGTCATCTGAGTCCTGCGCACGAAAGCCAACTATCAAAACAACTAAATGTTGATCTCCGGTCCAGAGGTGATTTTTTTTCCTAGATGTCAGTATGTGTCACTTGTTTTATGTGAATTTATCATGTTTGTCCTTTTCTCTTGTTTTCTTATTCTGCGACATTAGGTTCCAAAAACAACAGCTCATGGGATGGCAAAGACGGAAATGAGATGAACTGCACCTACGCTGTACACGTTATGACTGCCCTGCCATGGCAACTTAGCAACCAAACGTGGCCTTGTCCCTGAAATCTGAGCTGCTCTTCAGCATGGACTTATGAGGAACATCGTGATTGTTGAGGCCCACATGCACAGTGTCTGGTTTGGGTCCTTTCTCATCGCCTTGTTCATGGCCTTCATGGGGCTAAAACTAAAGTTCAGCACCACGTTCGTCGCAACAACCTCCACAGTTCCCATCCACCCCGGCGTCACAGTGATATTCCCAATCCTGGGTCAGGGGAAAGGCTTCTGTCGGAAAGATGCACACTGCAGCCAAAAACACAGAGAGAGAGAGGGAGGGAGAGAGAGAGAGATGACCGAGACAGAAACGCACAGGTCTCAGGTACTACCGCTGCGGGTCGCGGCATTGTGGGCCCTCTTTTGCCCAAGAATCCTCCCATCACTGAGGTCAAAAGGGAAGTTGCCAGATTCATCCAGCTCCTCTTGGATTCGTTTCTCCTTGAGCTTCAAGTCCTGTGGAAAATCTATCGTGGGAGAAAAACTTATAGACACTAGTCACTAGACTATAGATATGCCATCTCAAACTTATTGCATGCATATATGCCTACATGCAGAGGTACATTTGCAAATGCGTTCATGACTACAAATTCGGCATGTATGTATGTATCCCTCCCCCCCTGTGGACGGGGTATGTGGGGGTATGTAGTATGTATCTAGGTAGGTGTATATATATGTGTGTGTGTATGTATGTATGTATGTATGTATGTATGTATGTATGTATGTATGTATGTATGTATGTATGTGATGTGATGTGATGTGATGTGATGTGATGTGATGTGATGTGATGTGATGTGATGTGATGTGATGTGATGTGATGTGATGTGATGTGATGTGATGTGATGTGATGTGATGTAATGTAATGTAATGTTAATGTTAATGTTAATGTAATGTAATGTGTGTATGTGTGGGTATATTCCGTGGGTATATGGTGTATATATATATATATATGTGTGTGTGTAAGTGTGTAAGTAAGTATGTATGTATGTATGTATGTATGTATGTATGTATGTATGTATGTATGTATGTATGTATGTATGTATGTATGTGTGGATGTGTGGATGTGTGGATGTGTGGATGTGTGGATGTATGGATGTATGTATGTATGTATGTATGTATCTATGTATCTATGTATCTATGTATCTATGTATCTATGTATCTATGTATCTATGTATCTATGTCTATCTATGTATCTATCTATGTATCTATGTATCTATGTATCTATGTATCTATGTATCTATGTATCTATGTATCTATGTATCTATGTATCTATGTATCTATGTATCTATGTATCTATGTGTCTATGTATCTATGTATCTATGTATCTATGTATCTATGTATCTATGTATCTATGTATCTATGTATCTATGTATCTATGTATGTAGGTAGGTAGGTAGGTATGTATGTAGGTAGGTCTGCATATGTCTGTCTTTGTATTTATGTAGGTAGGCGGGTATGTACGAAGGTATGTATACATGCAGGTAGGGATTTATGTATGTCTGTATGTCTGTATGTATGGAGGGGGGTGGGATATCATGGAGGTTACCATGGGGGGTAGGTGGCCGGTGGATTGGATCATATATACATGTGTGTGTGTGTGGTGGGTGTGTGTATGTATGCGCGTATGCAAGGTAACACAGTTTCATATAATATCGTGTCATGTCATGTGATGTAATGTAATGTGATGTGATGCGATGTAAGGTGATGCGATGCAATGTAATGCGGCGTGATGCGCTATATAGAACTTCACGGTATGGTATTTTGTGCTGGGTGCAGTGTGGTGTGGGGAGTGTAGGTACGCAATGCAATGTCATGCAACGCAATGGAATGCAATGTGCTGTACTGTACTGTATTGTAGCGCAATGCAATGCAATGGAATGCGATGTAATGCATTGTAAGGTTATGCAATGTAGTGTAAGGCAACGTAACGTACTCTAAGGTTATGTAAGGTAGTGCAAGGTCATGTACTGTAATGAAATGTAATAAATATAGTGTAGTACAATTTCATGTGTGTATATGTGTATACGTATGCGCAGTATAATCTGAATGCCTCGAGAGATACAATGAATGTTTGCTAGTTTGATTATTGCTTGTGCCAGCATGTGTTCCGTGCACATGTCCATACCTTTGCAAACATGCCATTGCCCTGTCACTAAAAAGTTGTCTTTCATTGTCTTTCGCTCAAATGAATGACGCTGTAATGTCATATTCTATATATTCTATCGTACTAAGTTGAAAGGTGCTCCTTGAGTGTCATCGGGAAGCTCGCAGCATTGGCTCGATCCAAGCCTTCCACAAACTCCCCGAATGTTGACTCCAACCTGAGAACGTCAATCGTTGGTCACACACTCAGATACAGCATGGACAGTACTGAGCACACTTGCGGAGGCACAAGCATATCATAGACGACGCTCTAGCTGACTAGATCTGAAGAGTGTCAAGAAGCATTCCGCGCAGTGCAGCCTCCATGATGGTAAGCCGGTCGCAGACTAAAAGGATCTGCTGCGGCCGAAACAGCTCCGCCGAAAGGGTTATCAATCAAATGCCATCCATCCAGTGCAGCACTCTATGTAGCTTTCCAGGGCTCATATCTAGTTTCTTACTTACTGACTTACTTCAAGCACCTCCGCCAATCAGGCAGTTCAAACAGATTCAACCCTTGTCTGTGCTCCAAGGTGCAAGTGTGACTCGGCATCGTTCAGGCGCAAGGCTAGCTGCTCTACCCGCACAATCTCAGCAAAGTGTGGGGCAACGGCTGCCTCTCCAGTGCACAAAATTCCTGCAGCATGTTGTGGAAACAGGTCAAGGCCTGGACAAACTGAAGACTGGCGGCAAGAACCCACTAGACATTGACTATGACTATAACTATAACATACTATAACCATCAACCTCAAAGACCGCTGCTTCGGTGCTCTCCATGCAACTTGGCCCAGATCTCCAGTGCACCGTGGAGTCCTTCGTCAGTTTGCATTGCTCGGTGAACGCGGCCTGGGGGTTCAGCTTGCGCTCTCTGCGCTTGTTGCTGTCGCTCCTCCAAACCATCACATGGACACCCGCAAGACCTACCTTTTGGACCTACTTCATCATTGGAGCTCGGTTTAGTAAGTTTAGTACCAAGGATTGTGGATGCACCGTACGTAGCGCATAGCTCACTAATGCTCACAGGAGCTCACTGATGCTCACCACACTCCTACCCCCAAACGCGGGCCACAATTCAGCAGAGTCAAACAATGCAAATGGTGCTTGATCGTAGGATGTCATTTTGACCTGGTGGCTTGACCACAAGAGTCGCTGTCCACAGTTCTCAGACAATCTATAAATATTAAAAATGCAAAACGCACAACAAGGATGAATCAAGAATGAAACTTAATGAAACAATGGCTTCCCGAGTCTCACATTAGGAGACTGCAAGGCTTGACAGAGCAGGAACGGAAGCTCTCGTGGGGTCTCGTTGAATCGAGATGTTTGATGTGATCTGTATTGATTGATGAATTGATCTGCAATGCTCTCAGGTTTGGCTTTTGCTCTGGTGACCTTCAAAGTAGACAAAGTCGATCAGGAAGGTGAGACCAAGCAAGCCGGCTTTGCGTTCAGCGCTGGAGCCTTGGGGGAAGACCACGGCAAAGGTGTCGGCTGTGGAGCAACACTCCTTCATCAAACCAGCCCAAACTTTGCGAATCTGCGGTGTGTTGGGATCATTGTACTGGCCTCCGATGACTTCATCCTTCTCACCATGGAAGTAGAACGGAATGTAGACCAAGCCCTTGCCACTGCAGCAATCACATGCAACGCAGCAACCGCCGCAACAAGTTTCCGGCTTCACCATGTAAACCTGCTGTCCATTCTCATGGTAGGTGAACTTTGGCACAAAGCAATGCGCATCACAATGGTAGAGGGACTGGGAGTTCAGTGCTTGACCTTGAGGAGACATTGGCGTTAGGTTTGGCAAGCAGCAGCAGCATGGGCAATCCATTGATCCTCCATTCTCACTTTGAACTACGATGAATGCAGGGCAAGTGAGAGGCTTGTCGTAGTACAGTACTTTCTCACCACCGGGTCCTCCCCCCTCTGAGATCTGCAATTGGAGTTGCGTCCTGCAGGATTGCAAACCCTGCAACAACAACTGGACTCCTCGGTGGCATACAATACATCTGGAACCGACATTGCCATGTCACTGACTCTGTAGCCATCCATCTGGTCCGCGCTGAAAGGTGCCACCTTGTACTCTGACTTGGCATCACAGCCCAAGCGTTCCTGAAGACAACCTCTCATGGTCTGCTTCACCAAAAGTGCCTCATGGGGTCCAAACGCGGCCTCAAGCTTCGACTCACTTCCCATGTCAATATCCATCTGCTTTGGTGCCTCCATGGCTGAGGTCCAGCAAAGCTCTGGTGGCAGTGCGATCAACCTCTAAACTCACCTACACATTTACTGCGTATGCTTTGGGCCAAAATTCCGGACACAACAAGATCTCAAAGCATCTAAGATGCGAAGGTACAGTATATATATAATATCTGTGTACTTCTTTTGTGTATGTGTATGCATTTAATGATGCGCCTATCTGATATTATCAGTCATGTTTGTCAAGGAATACTGACTCTGTATGTAAATATCTCTCTCTGTCATGCTTGATTCGGCTTATCCGCACTTCATGCTGATCCTCCTCAGCTGCTTCTGCTGTCACCTCATACAACGTCAGAACCTGTCAATGTGTCACATCCTGCTGTCGGACTGGAGTCCAAGAATCATAGGATGGACATGTTGCGAGGAGTCTTACCCTTGCAGGTTGAGGCAGAAAAATGCACGAGTAAAAATGAGAATGTCAAACCCGCATGTGTCCCAGATTTTTTGTACACCTGCACTGCCTTTGCAAAACTGATCATCCTGAGCACCCAGACCAAGAAAGAACGAAGACCTCATGGGCGCACGGGATTGCCGAATTCAGAAGCTGTGAGAAGACCCGTTTTGTTGCTTGAAGCTGCTTGAAGTCTTGAATGTCAAACTTGTGAAACATATAGAAACATCATTGTCATTTAGGCTTGTACCACAGTCAAGCGTTGCGATGTGTTTGTAATTATGTCAATTCGAAACGAAGCACTACATCCCAAGTGCTGCGCGATCCAGCTTCACACGAAGCTCTTTGGCTTCTGCTTCAGCAGCAACACGGCTGCGTGCCTTGCAGTGATGGCACATTGTGCCCTACAGAACCAACAATCTTCGTAGATCATGCGATGATCATGCGATGATCATGCGATGATTGTTGGCACTGGCCGGCGCATGGAGCTGCAGAAGATCCATCGTCGTGCAGTGCTTACACTGCTCAGCTCTTGTAGTCACCAGATGCGTTTCCCCAGCCCCAGCTTCCGGGAAATTTCCCACAACTCTCTTTCGCAACACTCGCTTTGAGACCCGTTTTGCAAAACTCTTTAGTCTTGTAGAACACTCTCTTGCATCCTTGTTCAATAGCTTGCATTAAGCTCTCTTTACAATCCCAATTCTAGAACTGTGGCAGCAACACTCTTTGCCAACGCATTTGAAAACTACACTCCGGCGATAGGATACGCTTCTTGAACATTTCTAGAGACAACTCTTGGCTTGTAACACACGCTGTCTGCGACACTCTTGTAGAACACTCCACAGCTCATTGGCAATCCTATCGTCAAACATCGTCAAACAGTCTTTTCACAGGAGGAGTTATGAAACTTGTGCCGGCAGTGCACTATTGTGCTGCACCTACCCTTTTTTTAATCTTGCAACCCTATAGGCCCTATTCAGAGAATGGACAAAACAAAAACACACAAAAAAAAGAACATCAAAGAACGTCGCTTATGATTTTGATTGATTTTGCCATGGAATATTATGACATGTCATAGAATCACAACATGGGGGCTGAGTCACTTGGCGGTAGTATCGCACTAGTTGTGATGACACAGCCGAAAGCAGAAAACCGGAGCCACTTATAAACCCCACCACCCGACAATGCGTTGAGAAATCGGAATGGCCCAAGCTCCAAGCACAAAACACGTCAAAACACGTCAAAACACGTCCAAGAACACGTCCATGTCCGCCCGTCTGCCCACCTCCTGGGCCACTTCTACTGAGAGCCGGAAATGCTCACCCTCCAGGCGTGACAGGACCTTGCATTTGGAGAACTAGGAGACAGTTCAGGCCACCTCACGGTCATCTCAAGGCTAGATATGCTACAACATGCTACAACATGCTACAACATGCTACAACATGCTACAACACTTGCAAACATCGCAGATGCTCCTCCGAACCTCGTGAATTTGCTGGAATTCCTTCCTCCATCGTGTTCTCTTCTAACATCTTCGAACATCTCCCTACATCTCCCCGCCCTTGTTGCCACTTGTTGCCCATTTTTGTGGCCTCTGCAACTTGCTCTTCACGGCGCAATTCAAACGACGCTTTCACCTCGGAAAGGGCTAACATCCGTCGGGATTCTACGCTTGCTAGACCCACGACTAGACCCAAGCCGGCATGGCTGTTCTGGTCCACTGCAACAGGACAAAAGGACCACCACCAGTCAAGGGGATGCCCTTGTCAAAAAACGCGCTGGCCCTTCACATGATCCATGAACCTTAAGGAGTCTGCGTCACTGCAGAGCGTCTAGCAGTAACAGGACCACCAAAGAACTGACCTGCGTAAGATAACCTGATCTGGTCTTGCCTGGCAACTAAACATTTGGTCTTTTCCAGTACCCATGTTCGACTTCAAAATCGAAAAGGCTCCATCTAATTTTCTGTCTTTCGACTATGTAATTCTTACATTCCGCAATTAAGAGGTCATCTATGATCATCTTATGTACCACTCTTCTCTGTGGAAGACATTGCAGTGAAGAGGTATATAGAAGTCTCAGATGCAGCAGGAGAGCTGAACGTGCTGAACAATTTCAAGGCAGGAGGCTATGTGCCATGTAACCCATGTACACTGCTTTGATCCTCTCCTGAGACCCAGGCTGCTTCAATTTCGCCTCCGAAGCTGCTCCAAACTCTTGGGATCACTTGGGTCATAAGCTCGCTATGTGGCACACTTGAAACAGATATTAAGCGAATCTAGCAGCAATCAAACAGCAATCTAGCAGCAATCTAACCGCAATCTGGCATTTCTTGCGGCTTGATTCCAAACTGAGTCAAGCTTCTGCCACGAGCCCAAGCCGAGCCACGCTGCAGTCCATCTTGTGCAGACTGCGCGTTTCTAGCAGCTTCCAATCGTGCAGAGGCCTCAGAACACCAAAGCCAGTCACAAACTTATATACCCATGACAAATGTACAGTTGAGTATGTATTCTATGCATGTTTCCATGCGCAGCGCTTGAAAGCTGGAGAATGGTGGAGTCACTTGGTGCTTGCCTTGATTCCCTCAAGATCCCTCAAGTTCCAGTCTGGAGGCAGAGCCAAAATGGACTCCAACCAGCATCTTGATTTACAAACAGACCACTGCAGTCAAAAGGACGAAAGGTTTTGACACAAAGTCTGCAAGGAACCTGGATCATGTCCCTTAGCATCAAACACAAACATGGATCTTGAACTTGAAAATGGTGGCTTGGAAAATCGGTTCTGATCTAACGGGAAAGAAGAATCTTTTCCTCAACTATATAACAGCATGAATTGATGGGTAGATGGAGGAACTAGAAGAGAAACGAGACAGGGTTGGGCCACCTGACAGCCTCACATTGGGCCTCCTGTGCTCCTTCCATCACATGACGGAGGCGATCTGCCATGGAAGCCTGCTAACGCCACGAAGAAGTAGAAGCAAAAGGAAGCTGGAAATGTTCCAAGATCTAGAAAACATAGTAAAACATCTGGGAACATAGAGAAATGCAAAGGAAATGCCAACTGCAACGACGGCAACGACAATCGTTTCAATCTTTGACAAACGATCTCGACTGGAAGGCCATCGCCCTCGCCCAGCTGATCCCCGAGTAGCAGCCAATAGCCTTCATAGCACTTCTTTTCTCTTGCAATTTGTTTATATAATGTTTATCTTCTGTATCTGTGTCATTCGATTTTGATTTGTTTAATTTGATTCACTTTATTTTACTTGATTAAAATGTGATTTATTTGATATTAAGTATATTAAGTATATTAAGTATATTAAGTATATTAAGTATATTAAGTATATTAAGTATATTAAGTATATTAAGTATATTAAGTATATTAAGTATATTAAGTATATTAATTTGTTTTTCGTTTTTTTGTTTCGTATTTTCGTATGGTTCGTGTTTCGTCGTGGAGCCAGAGCCCGCCTCGGCGGCTTCCTGCTGTCGCAGCTCCGATCTCCTGAGATCCATCAGCGCTGTGTTGTGCGTGTAGATGCACACGGCTATACAGGCTATACAGGCTATACACATATAAAAAACATAAATAAATATACATACATATACAGTACACATATATATATATACTTATACAATATATAATATATCATGTACGATGTATATATATTTTTTCTATATGTGTGCCATCTGTTTGGGTCCATTTTGTTGTCCATGCACATGTGTGCTCACACGTCACTAAACCCAGCACATAGAAAGTTATAGCATGCACATTCAATTTCAGTTGCATGCACACGAAGTTCAACGAATGTGTTTGGTGCGCCACAATGCATCAAGGTGCTGCTTCAAGCATGGAACAACGCGCAACAAACAAGGTTCCGCCACGTTGAACGCATTTCAGATTCAGCAGTTATCTGAGGAACATGCCAAGACTGAAGCGCTGCAGCCTGCACCAATCACACCAGAAGTCTTCAAACGATAATCCGATACTCAATACTGTCTTCAAGAAAATGCCCATCTGGCCACCCACTGCAGACGCTGGCCAACTTTATCTCTTCGGCAAGTGGTAGTATGTAGGTGGTGCTTCAACCCATGCAAGTAGCAAAGCAGGCAAAACAATGTAAAGTAACCACTGTGCATCTCACAAACTAAGATCAGCTTCACCAACACAAGTGTAGTCGTTTCCCAGATTGAACACATGAAAGGAGGCAACATACCCTCAGATGTGCATCAACGTCCCTCCAACATCAGCATCAACATCAACATCAACATCTCTATCCATCCATCCATCCATCCGTCCATCCATCCATCCATCCATCCAAGCTCCATAATCTATCCATCTATCCATCTATCCATCTATCAATCTATCCATCTATCCATCTATCCATCTATCCCTCTATCTCTATATCTCTCTATCCCTATCTCTCTCTCTCTCTCTCTCTATCTGCCTATCTGTCTATCTGTCTATCTGCCTATCTGGCTATCTGTCTATCTGTCATTCTATTCTATTCTAGTTTAATCAAATCTAATCTGATCTATATATCCGTGGGTATGTGGTATATTCCGTGGGTATA